CGGAAACAACTGTAACAGAAGGACCAGTAGAGGAAATTGTTGAGGAAATAATAAAACCTCTTTCTACTCCAGAAATGATTGAACCGCCCGAGGTAGAGGTGATAAAGGAACAAGTGACTGTTACAGAAGAAATTACCAAAGACAGTAAACCTAAAAAAGTCACAAAGAAGAATGTAACTAGACGTAAGGGAAAGGAGCAACAGGTGACAGAGATCGTTAGTATTGAAGAGCAAGGAATGGCTCCGGTCACATTTGTTACGGAAGGTCCAGTGGAAGAATAGTTGATGAAATTGTAAAATCACTTCCTGCGCTTGAGGATGTCAAGCCTGAAGAAGTGATAGAGATGCAAGAACAATTAGTCATTACCAATGAAGTTATTAAGCAGGAGAAACCGAAAAAGACTACGAAGAAAGGAATAATTAAGCATTCAGGCAAAGAACAGCAAATAACAGAAATAGTTACTGTTAAAGAAGAAGGAGAGCAACCGATTACGACAGTGTCTGAAGGTCCTCTAGAAGAAGTTCTTGAAAAAATCTTAATCTATCCAACATCTAAATATGTTGAAAAACCATACGAAGTAGAAGAAGTACGCGAACAAGTAACTGTCACAGAAGAAATAGCAAGAGAAGGTAAACCCAAGAAAACCACTAAGAAAAAAGTAGTAAAGCGTACAGGAAGAAAACAACAAGTGTCTGAAATATTAACAGTTGAAGAACAGGATCAAGTTCCAATTACTACAATTACCGAAGGTCCTACGGAAGAAATAATCGACGAAACTCTTAAAGTTCTGCTTGCTCCAGAATACGCTAAACCAGATGAAGTGGAAGAGATTCGTGAACAAGTTACTGCCACACAAGAAATGACCGAGGAAGGCAAACCTAAGAGAATTATGAAGCAAAAGACCATAAAACGTAAAGGAAAGAAACAACAAATGACGGAAGTTGTAACAATTGAAGAGGAAGGCAAAGCTCCTGTCACAATTATCACTGAAGGTCCTATCGAGGAAATTGTGGAAGAAGTTGTAAAAGCATTTCCTGTCCCAGAACATGTAGAATCAACAAAAGAAGAAGCAGTTGAAGAGATAACAGTTCCTGAAATTGTTACCGAGGAAGGTAACCAAAAATTGATAAGAAGAAAATTCCTAAGAAAGTTTCTAAAAAAGTACCTGTTCCTAAAGAAGAAAAAGAAGAAGTTACAGATGTTCCTGAAATTTCTGAAATTCCATTAAGAAAACTTAAGAAACCTGTTAAACTTGAACGTCTCAAAATAACTAAAGTCGAAGCTACGAAACTTGAAATACAAGAAATATCTGTGGATAAACCTCAATTTGCACAAATTAAATTGCGTAAGACTCCAACCGTAAAACGACCTGAAAAGAAAGAAAAAATTCCTCGAGTTCTTCTTCGAAGTCGAATTACACCCATAGAATGGCCTGCAGCGATAAAATATTTGAAAATCGAAGAACTCGAACCGAATGAAGTTCAAAATGGTATTTTGTCTCGCAATGTCGAAGAAGCTATTATTTTACCAAAACCTAAGAAGAAAAAGGTAAAACGTTTGGAAAAGGAAATAGCCAAACTAGAAAAGCTGGATCAAGAATTCGAGGAATTGAAAAAGGAATTACCTCTTGAAAAACTTGAAGAGCCTCTAATAGAGAAATCAGAAAGGAAAGTGAAGAAAAAGAAGCCTGTTGAAAAGGTTAAAGGCGAGAAGCCACAATTGATGAAGATCAGTATCAAAGAGCAAAAACCTATCAAACCGAAAATCGAGGAACCAGTTACTCCTTTGTTTGCACAGATTAAATTAAAAAAAGCACCTGTCAAATCGAAAACGAAACAAGACAAAGATGAAACCAAGTTCCCTAAAGTTTTATTACGCAGTCGTATCACGGAATACGAATGGCCACCATCTATTAAATATCCTGTTATTATTGAACTTGAACCTAATTATGTGCAGAATGGTGAATTATCTCGCACTATGGAAGAAGCATTGAAACTAAAAAAAGTGAAACACAAGAAAGTAAAACTTCCAGAAAAAGAAATAATAGAATTGGAAAAATTGGATCAAGAATTCGAGGAATTAAAGAAAGTTCCATTGGAAAAAGTAGAAGAAATAGCGCCATATGAACGTAAGCCTAAACCCAAAGAATCCGAAGAGGAGAAACCGAAAAAATTGAAAATAGGAAAAGGAAAGCCTCGGTCTACGGAAGAAGAGGAGCCACAAGTAATCAAATTGAAGAAAATACCGGAAAAAGTTCCAAGCGTTTCAGAAGAATTTACTCCTGTTCCAAAGAAGAAAGATGAAGTAGACAAACCCGAAGAAGAAAAAGAAGAGAAAGAATATCCTGAAATAAAGCCATTCGAACCGTACGAAATAGAAACAACTGAAATAAAATTAGAAGAACTAGAAAAACCAGAATATCCAGAGAAACCAGAGAAAATACCTAAGAAGATATCAACTAAAAAACCAAAGAAGGAACGCAAGACACCGGTTCAGGAAACTGAAGCTGTTCCAATAGTACCCGGTATTCCAAAACCGAGAGAACCTGAAGAAAAAGAAGAAATTAAGAGAAGAATTCCTGAATATGAAGCTCCAATGCAAGAGCCAGAGAAAATTAAATTAAAACCTTGGAAGAAATCTGAAGATGAAAAAGAACAAGAAAAGAAACCTGAGGATTATCTAAAATTCGTTCCCAAAGATGACGATATTGTCGAGACTGTCGAGATTGTTATGACCGTGACCATGGAAGAAACACCAGAAAAGAAACAACGAAAGATCAAAAAGAAGAAAACCACAACGAAACGTGGAGACGAAAAACCGAAAGTTATCGAAGAGACAACGGTAGAAGAAGAGGGCGTAGAACCTGTGGTGACGGTCGAAGAAATTGTCCAAGATAAACTCGAAGCCGTACCGGTCGAATCGAAACCTATGCCTGTCGAAGAGATCAAAGAAGAGATAGTAACGAGTGAGATCGTGAGCGAGGAAGGAACAAAGAAAACGGTGCACAAAAAGCGCATCACAAGGAAACGCGAAGGTAAAGAACAGATCACCGAAGAGGTGGTCGTGGAAGAAGAAGGTAAAGAACCATTAACAGCAATAACAGAACTTCACGAAGACACTACACGAGAAATACACGAAAAACCAAAACACAAAAGACCAACAAAACCAAAAGCTGACGAGAAAGTGACGGAAGGTAAGCCCATTTCTTACGTATTACAATTATACCATCACCATAGCCTACAGTTATATTATATATATACGCCATTTTTCATTTATTGAGCATAAATGATATACGATTTAAACAATACAAAATACAAAGACATGATGGACAAATATACTTGATGTTATACTATATACATAACTTGTAATCGATGTATATGTTTATAAGCACTTTGTCTATACGCTTCTTCTATCTTTTCTATTCGTTTATTCGTTAAATAATTTGTGATATGCTATAAAGAAAAGCTTGAAACGAGATATTTTATTTTAATGATCAAATCTAAAATATTTTATTCTTTTCGCAGATATCACGGAAGATGTTGTAGAACAGGTAAGATTTATAAGATAGTTGATTTTAAAATTATTTATATTTTAAAATGGCTACAATTATGGATACAAAATTTACTAAGATTGAATTTATTTTAAATAATAGAAAATTGTCGAGGAAATCCAGAAAGTGCCAAAGGTTGTCAAAAAGATTATTAAGAAAAAACCGCTTAAAGCTAAAGATGAAGTAACAGAGGAAGTCGTAGAGGAAATAATAATAGAGCAACCTGATGAACAAGAAGCACAACCAATCGTAGAAGAATTAGAAACAGTGACAATCACTGAACATGATGTACGAAAGACACCGAAGAAAAAGAAGGAGGTCGTCATTAAGGAGGAGGAGGAGATCTTTGAGACGATCGAAACACCCACCAAAAAATTATTAAAAAGAAGATTCGTCCTATGAAAAAAGAAGGAGAAGAAATCGTGATGGAAGAAATAATTCAGAAACCACGCGAGGAAACAATTGAAATGGAGGAACAAAGAATAGTAGAAGTGATCGAAACACCTACAAAGAAAGTAGTGAAGAAAATAAAAGCGATAGTAAAAGATGACGGTGTTCCCGAAGAGATTGTTGAAGAGATTGTGATCGAGAAACCGCAGAAAGAAAAAGCAAAACCTATCGTGGAAGAAGAAAAGAAAAAGATCAAAGTAACAAAGATTGATCTAAAACAAGCACCCAAGAAACCGGAAGAAATAGTTGAAGAAGAAGAAGAAATAATCGAAACCATCGAAACTCCAACACAAAAAATCATCAAAAAGAAACCAAAAGATAAAAAGAAAAAGATAGTGGAAGAAGTTATACAGAAAACAGTAGAAGAAGCAAAAGCAATGGAGGAACGTGAAATTGTGGAAATCATTGAAACACCGACAAAGAAAATAATCAAGAAAAAGAAAGCGATTATCACAGAAGGCAAAATTCCTGAAGAGGAAGTTGAAGAAATCGTAATTGAAAAACCTATTAAAGAAAAAGCTCAAAAGGATGTTGTACCTCAAGAAGGCATAGAAATTACTGAAATTATTACGGAAACTACTGTCGAACAGTTGCCTGAAAAGAAACCTAAACTAGAAGAGAGTAAACCCTCAGAAGTGGAAGAAGAAAAGGCAGAGATCACGCAAATAGAAGTGAAGAAAGTACCAAAGAAGAAGAAACCAATTACATCGATTGAAGAGAAAGAAGAGATCATAGAAGAAATAAAACCTGAAGTGAAAAAAGAAAAAGCGGAACCAACTGAGAAAGAGAGCGTTGAGTTAACCGAAATGATTTCTGAAGTAATAACAGAAAAACTTCCTGAAGAAGTTAAACTTAAGAAAAAGAAAATTGCTAAGATTAAGGAAACAGAAGAAAAGATAATAACGAAGGAAGTAGAAGTAAAAGAAGCACCAAAGGAAGCTGTGCCTCAGACAGAAGAACAACCAGAAGAAGAAGTACAAGAACTAATTACAGAAAAACCAAAGAAAATTAAAGCAAAGAAAGAAGTCACGTCTCAAGATAGTATCATAACTACCGAAGTTATTTCTACAATTGCAGAAGAAGCGTTAGAAGTAGAGAAACCGGAAGAAGATAAGGCTGTAGTAATCGAAGAAAAGGAAGAGAAAGGTAAAATAAAAGAAAAGAAAATAACTGTGAAAAAGGCTCCTAAAAAGAAAGTTATAGCAACGGAAGCTGAAGAAGAACAAGTAGAAGAAATAATAGAAGAGATAACACCAGAAGAATTAAAAAAGAAAAAGGCTAAAAAGACTGTCCTTCCTAAGGAAGAAATACAGACAACTGAAGTGATTACTGAAGTTACAACAGAAGAGATAAAAGAGAAAAAACCAAAAGAGGAGAAAATTGTTCCCAAAGAAGAAGAAAAAGTGGAAGAAGAGGCAAAGATTAGTGAGATTTCTATAAAGCAAGTACCTAAAGAAAAGAAAAAGAAAGAAATTGTAACGAACGGTGAGATCATTGAAGAAAAGCCAAAAGTAAAAGAAATTTCTGAAGAAAAACCTAAAATAAAGGAAACTCCAAAGGAAGAAAAACCTAAAGAAGAGAAACCAAAAGAAATAAAACCAGAGGAAAAGAAACCAAAGGAAGAAAAACCGAAAAAGAAAAAAATAGCAGAAAAGAAACCTATGGTTGTAGAAAAGGAACAGTTCGAAGAAAGAATAGAAGAAATAGTAGAAGAAAAGCCAGAGAAAGTCAAACCCGAAAAAGAAATTATACCAAAGGAAACTATAGAAACTACTGAAGTTATTTCAGAAATAGTTGCCGAAGAATTATCAACGAAAAAACCTGAGGAACGCAAAGCAATATTTGTCGAAGGAAAATCAGAAGACAAAGTTACAGTTGAAGAAGTCTCAGTAGAAAAAGCTCCAGAAAAGAAAGAGAAAAAAATACCAGAAGAGAAACCAATCGAGGAAATTCCTGAGAAACCAAAGGAAATAAAGAAGAAGAAGAAAAAGAAGATAATTAAGAAAGATGATATCGAAGAATGGGTAGAACCAGAATATGAACGACCAGTACTGGAACCTATGCCTGAAAAGATACAATGGGAACCAAAAAAGAAGAAAGAAAAGAAACCTTTACCAGAATCCTTGCAGAAATTGGTACCTCAGAAGATCGAAAGAAAAGAGATTAAACCCACGAAGTTAAAGTATTCAGAACCTACAGAAACTGTTCAGTTTGCTGCAATTAAATTAAAGAAAGTAGCGATTCCAAAAAAGAAGGAAATCGAAGAACCCAAATTTCCGAAAATTATGTTACGAAGCAGAATTACATTTGTTGGAGATTATCCACCTGAAATACAATATCCAAATATAACCGAATTGGAAGAAAATCCAGTTCAAACGGGTATTCTATCTAGAAATACGGAAGAAGCTCTTGAAGTTCTGAAGAGAAAAGTAAAGAAGGTTAAACTTCCCAAGAAGGAAATGACAGAATTAGAAAAATTGGATCAAGAATTCGAAGAATTGAAAAAGGTTCCTTTGGAAAAAATAGAAGACAAATCCATATATGAACGTCCACCAAAGAAACCTGCGGAAAAATCAGAAGAACCACAACAGTTAGTTGTTGGAAAAGGCAAGGTGCCGGAAGAAAAGATAGCAGAACCTGAAATGATAAAATTAAAAAAGATTCCTGAAAAGAAACCGGAAAAAATTGAAGAACCGTTGAAAAAACCGATCAAACCAGAACCTGAAAAGGAAGTTAAGCCAGAAAAGAAAGAGAAACCAAAGATAAAATTAGAACACGAAGAACTGAGACCATTGGAGTTCGACAGACCAGAGCTCGAAAAATATGTGCCCGAAGAGCATGAAGAACTAGAGAAACCGGCACCAGAGTCAGTACCAAAACCATATAAAAGAGAGGAAAAGAGAAAACCAGATCAAGAAATAGAACAAATTCCATTGATAAAAGGAGAATCCAAACCACCAGAACCAGACAAAGAACCGGAAGTTAAGTTTAGAATACCTCAGAAAGAAAAACCAGAAGAAGAGCCGGAAAAGATAACGTTGAAAGGCTGGAAAAAAGACAAACCTGAGGATGAAGGTGTCAAAGAATTTCCAACGAAGGAAGAAGAAAAAGAAATTCCTACGGCACCCAAAGAAGAAGCGGAAGAAATTACCTTGAAGCGCAAAATAAAACCAAAGAAACCTAAAGAAAAAGCTCCTAAAGAGGAAGAGGTGACACTCAAGAAACCAGAAGAAAAGAAACCGGAAGAAGTTCCAGAAATAATTGAAGAAATCACGCTGAAGAAAAAACCCGAAAAACCAATGGAAGAAGCTCCGGCAGAAATAACTATCAAGAAACCAATTGTAGAGGAAAAAGAAATAGAAGAAGAGGAAACAATTACTGAAGTAACGTTGAAGAAAGAACCGAAGAAACCAGAAGAAATTGTTGAAGAAGCAATTGTAAAGAAGCCAAAGAAAAAACCTATAAAGAAGGAAGAAGCCGAGGCCGAAATTACGATTAAAAAAGTTGAAAATGAAGAAGTCGAAGAGATTAAAGAAGAAGTGCTTATACAGAAAAAGCCGAAAGAAAAGCCTACTCCAGAGGAAACAACTGAAGAAGTTATTCTGAAGAAACCAAAAGAAAAGATATCTGAAGAAGTAACTGAAAAAATAAAGAAACCTAAGGAAAAGAAGCCTGTGAAGGAAGAAGCTGATAAAATTACTGTAAAGAAACCTATTGTAGAAGAAAAGAAGGAAGAGGAAATTCCTGAACAAATAACACTTAAGAAAAAGAAACCAAAAGAGAAACCAGTTCCAGAGGAAGTAAAAGAAGAGGTTACATTAAAGAAACTAAAAGAGAAAGTGTCTGAAGAAACAACAGAACAGATAGAAATCAAGAAACCCAAAGAAAAGAAACTAGTTGAGGAAGAAGCAATTGATGAGATCACCATTAAAAAATCAGTTCCTGTAGAAAAAGAAGAAGAAGAAATTCTAGAAGAAGTGACTTTGAAGAAAAAGAAACCAAAAGAGAAACCAGTTCTAGAAGAAGAGATAAAGGAAGAGGTTACATTGAAGAAACCAGTACCAAAAGAAAAAGTGCCAGAAGAAACAAGCGAACAAGTAGAGATAAAGAAACCGAAAAAGAAAAAACTTGTAGAAGAAGAAGCAGCTGATGAAATTACTATCAAGAAACCTGTGCCTGTAGAAAAAGAAGAAGAAGAGATTACAGACGAAGTTATAGTGAAAAAGAAGAAACCTAAAGAGAAACCAGTTCTAGAAGAAGTGAAAGAAGAGGTTACATTGAAAAAACCAGTACCAGAAGAAAAAGTGCCAAAAGAAGTAAGTGAACAAGTAGAGATAAAGAAGCCGAAAAAGAAAAAACTTGTAGAAGAAGAGGCAGCTGATGAAATTACTATCAAAAAACCTGTGCTTGTAGAAAAAGAAGAAGAAAAGATTAAAGAGGAGGTTACATTGAAAAAGAAAAAACCAGTTTCTGAAGAAATAACTGAGGAAGTTATATTGAAAAAACCAATTTCAAAAGAAGAAGAAAAAGAAATAACTGAGAAAGTTGAAATAAAGAAACCAAAGAAGAAGCCAATACAAGAAGAGGTTGCCGATGAAGTGACCATTAAAAAGCCAATTCCTATAGAGAAGGAAGAAGAAGAAGTCATAGAAAAAGTGACTTTGAAGAAAAAGAAACCGAAGAAAAACCAGTTCCAGAAGAAGTAACGGAAGAAGTTACACTCAAAAAACCAAAAGAAGAAGAAAAAGTACCTGAAGAAGTAACCGAAAAAATAGAAGTGAAAAAACCTAAAAAGAAAAGGCCGACAGTAGAAGAGGCTGCCGATGAAGTAACGATCAAGAAGATTGTTGAAGAAGAAAAGAAGGAAGAGGAAGCTCCTGAAGAGGTTATACTAAAACCAAAACCGAAGAGGAAATCAGTCATAGAAAAAGAAGAAGAGGTCACTGAAGTGACCATCACAAAACCAAAACCGATTGAAGAAGAAAAGAAACCGGAAGAAATTGAAGTGTCTCTGAAAAAGAAACCAAAGAAGAAGCCCATTGTCGAGGAAGAAGCTGCTGAAATAACCATCAAAAAGTTGGTTCCTACAGAGGCTGAAGAAGCGCCTGAAGAATTCACCATCAAGAAAAAGAAGAAACCAGAAAAGAAACCGACGGTCACGGAGGAGGTCGAAGAAACTGCCGTGACCATAAAGAAAGCTCGTGCTCCCGAGGAATCGAAAGAAGAAGAAGAAGTGTCGACCGAAATACAAATAAAGAAGAAACCTGAACGCAAGATTAAAGAGGAAGCGACTGAAGAACTAACTATTAAAAAGATCGAAGAAGTGAAGCCTGAAGAAGAAGAAGAGGTGCAAGAATTCACCGTGAAACGAAAACCTCCTAAGCAGCCTCCTAAACCGATCGAAGAGATCTACGAAGATGTTACTCTTCGAAAATTACGTCCAAAGAGGAAACCAAGGCCAGATATCAATGAGGTGACCGAAGTGGAAAACGTGACATTCCGACCACGGTCCACGAAGACAAAAGAAGATGTAGAACAAGAATTCAAGATCTCGTTGAACACGTACGAGGAAGAAGACATTTCGATGTCCGGTAAAGTTCGATTGAAGCCCAAGAAACGGCCAATGACATACTCTGAAGAGGCTGGAGAAGAAACGATCAAGATAATACAGGAAATCGAGGATGATTCCGGACCTATCATAGAGGAGATCATAGAATCGGATGAAGAGGCCAAGGATCAATATAGTATCGAGGAATTGGAAACTGATGAAATGAGGCTTCCACTCAGAAAGAAGAAAAAGAAGGAACCTAAACCCTATAAAGTGGAGGATGTCGAGGAGGGTGACGTGAAACTGAAACTGAAACACGAAAGGAAATACTCCGTGGAGGAAGCTGACGAAACGTTAGCATTGAAGTTGAAGGCCAAAAGACGCGTATCTACTTACGAAGAAGGTTGGAGGGAATTTCACAATTATCGATTTCGCAGATAATGTTTAATCTGATGTAACGTGCTTTCAGCTATAATATAGAAATTAATATGCTTCGTCAGGTGCATTTAGTGAGTATGCTTGCCCCTAAATCCCTATGCCATCGAAACGAAGCCTAAAAATCTCCCGCTTCTTAATCCATTGCGAATGAAAAGCATATCGGTACTTTGTATAACGTACTTGAATAGCATTAGAACATTGTAACGAATTTCTAGTGAGAATAAGTATAGATCTAACGATACTCATACCTCGTCGAGAACGAGTATGATTAATATTGTGTAGTATATCGCCGCTTCAACTTTAATTGTTATGTCAATAGATGATTGTAATAATAAATATCAATTTGTATGATTAATACTGCTTACCTTTATTATAATACTTCGTTTGACACGTTACAGAAGAGGCCTCGCTTAGTATCACCAGAGAAGAAGATATTTCAGAGGGAGGTATGTATTTCTATCGTCCGCATAAAACACTTTTTATTTTTGTTTATCGAGTTTATTTTATTTTGGATATCGATAAATATTTGAAAACGATCGAAATGTTACAGAAGAAATCGAATACGTTGTCCGCGATGGCGACACAATGTTCTCGATTTGTTCGTACGTGGCAGAAACCGACGAAGCCATTAACCTCGTTGAAGGAGAAAGAGTTTACATTATCGGTAAGCATTTATCTTTTTACGCGTTAAAATGGTATGGTATAATATCATAAAACTGGGTCAACGTTTACTATTCATTGTACATATTTTTTCCAGACCACACGAATCAGGATTGGTGGTTCGTGAAAAAACATTTGACAGAAGAAAAAGGTTGGGTTCCAGCGCAATATCTTCTCAACGAAGTCCATTATACTCATTATCTACAACGCAAATTACACGAGAAAATTGACAAATTACCTGTATTTGAAAGTATGTCGTATTTTATTTATGCGTATGGAAATATATTTGAAGAAAACAATTTTGAAAATAACATTTCCATTTTTTTAATACACGCGTAACATATTAATTAATTGAATAAATTTGATGATAAATTAATCTTCAATGTTCCAGAACCTGGGCCTGGAGAGAAAACATCAGCACCGAGATTCATCGAAAAATTGCAGCCAATTCATACACCGGATGGTTACACGGTTCAATTCGAGTGCCAAGTGGAAGGTTTACCAAGGCCTCAGATAACATGGTTCCGACAAACTGCCATCATCAAACCGTCCCCTGATTTCCAGATGTATTATGATGATGATAACGTAGCGACTCTGATCATTAGGGAAGTATTCCCTGAAGATGCAGGCACTTTCACCTGTGTCGCCAAAAATGCTGCTGGTTTCGCTTCCAGTACTACGGAATTAATCGTGGAAGCGCCTCTTTCTGATCATGGATCAGATCTAACTGGTCCATCCAGAAAGAGTCTATCAAGGTCTATCACTTTTTTTAATAAATGGAAATTATTTTAATTCAGACATCAATTTCTTTTTTCTTTATGAACTTAATTTTTCTCTTAAAATAAATTTTTTTTTAATACAATTTTATAATTTTCATTTTACATTATTTCTTTAATATTTAATTTTTTTGATGCATCTTATTTACATCTAATGTACAATATTACAATATTTTTACAATCTTCTTTTTAATATAAAATGCATAATTAAATAAAAATTAATTTCTTTCAGATATTAATTTCTTTTACAAATTATCTCATATCTATTATTTTGATGGATACTTTTTAAAATTTTTATACAATAACTTTATTTTTCATTTTAGAAATATATATAAATTGAAATAAATTAACATTTTAAATTACAATTTTTGCAGAGAATCATCGCTCGCCGATATCTTGGAAGGAATACCACCGACGTTCTCCCGAAAACCAAAAGCGAAATACGTCAACGAGGGTGAAGATGTGATACTGGAATGTCGATTGGTAGCAGTACCGGAGCCTGAAATAACGTGGTACTACAAGGACACGCAGATCACAACCAAAGAGAACATCGTAGTTGCTACTGAAAGTGATATGCATATGTACTGCAGCGTGATTAAAATTACCAAAGTGCAAAAAAAACAAGAAGGAAAGTACACCATCGTCGCTAGAAACAGGGAAGGTGAAGCTACCATTGAAATTCCTATGAAGGTTTGTTGAATTCGAATACAATAATTATTAATTTGATAATATTATTATTGAATATTTATTCTTTTTTAATCTTTTTTCTTATATCTAATCTTTATATCTATATTTTAAAAGTTTTTTTTTCTATTTAAATATAATACACAAAAATATATTTTCTTTGAAAATACAGAATTTACAAAAATTTACAACATAATATAATATTTTCTTCCTAAATTTGAATATATCATAATTTTTTTCGTAATTCTATATTCGAAAGGTATAGAATTTAAAGTTGAATATAACTTGAATTTAACATCACACAGGTGAAGACTGGTAAACATGAACCACCAGAGATTCTAGAGCCATTGCAATCATACGTGGTACGAGAGGGTGAAACCGTGGTATTGTCGACACAAATCGTAGGAAATCCAGCTCCTAAAGTGACTTGGTACAAGAATGGTAAACCACTGAAGGATCTGATCCCGAAACAAGATGGCCACGTGAATACGTTAACGTTGATTCAGCCCCAAGTATCTGACAGTGGAGATTATTCTGTCACAGCCATTAACGATCTTGGCAAGGTTGAAACAAAAGCTACATTGACAGTTGAAAGTAAGAACATTGAACGTGTTAATGTTAACCTGTTGCCATAAAAAGCTTATTACTCATTCGCTTTTTATTCTAATATTAAAATTTTTTCAATATACAAGTCACACTGATATCCAAACTGATCAATCTTATTAAATGAATTCTTTTGATTTTTAAAAAATTGAAATACCAATGACATATATTGTGATACAAAAATCAAGAAATTGTTCAATTTAGATAGTGAATAGTTCATATTTCTGTTAGAGAGTCCATTTAAATTTCCTTTAACATTTTTTGCTCGATCTTAAATAATTTTTTTTTAATTTAAACGATATTACATCATGCTTATAATATATTAATGCTGCAAAATTCATTGCTTCGCTACATCGTTTTTTCAGTAAACTTGAATCCTTCGCTGACCATTAGCTTCCAACAACACGCGTACGAACACTACACTTTAACTAAGGGTAGGATATGCTTCTGCTTGCATTTATTCACAGTGTATCTTAATATTTTAATAATTCTACATTTATTGAATAATTCTACAAAATTCTAAATATATAAATATTTTTGTAGAGATACCAAGCGGAGCACCAGAACCGCCACTCTTCACGGAACGATTCCAAGAACTTACTGTTCCGCAAAAAGGTACCTTTAAATTGGTCGCGAAGGTTACTGGAAATCCTGTACCAGAAGTCACGTGGTTAAGGTACTATCACTTATTTTATTATCTTTAAAGATCACATTTTTAATCCTTTGTAACTCGAAAAAGGAAAAAATTACTTAATAATTCAAAATGACATCTGATGGTCGAAAAACGTTTACAAATAATAACAAATAAATACGTACATAAGTGAATACATAAAGTTAAAAAAAAAAGCATTATTTAATTTTTTTCAACAGGAATAATAAACCCCTGGAAAAATCGCCGAATATCACTGAAACTTATGACGGTGAGAACATCGTGTTGGAGATCAAAAACGCGGATTCAGAGGTGGATGCAGGAGATTACAAATGCATCGCTAGTAATCCAGTTGGAAAAGCCTCTCACGGTGCCAAAGTTACGGTGGACGTGGAAAAGGTAACGTTCACGAAAACTCTGGAGAAGGAAGTGACCGTCGACGAGTATAAGACCTTAGAATTGATCTGCGAAACATCGCATACGGTATCCACAAAATGGTGGTACAACGACAAAGAGATCAGTGGAATGGATCATCGTGAAATTATTCAAGAAGGACGAGTGCACAAGTTGGTGATCAAGAGAACTAGTCCTACTGATGAGGGAACTTACAAGTGCACTGTGAAGAATCAATCAACATCCAGCAAAGTTACTGTAAAAGGTGAGAATTATAATTAATTAAACAGATATTTTCTAATCGGCACATACGCGTATTATGGAAAAAATGCAAATTGATTAAAATTCGTTTGAACAATTTTTGTCAAAAGAAATTATAACATTTATATGATCTAAATGTACAGCTACCAAACCAGAGTTCGTGAAGAAGTTACAAGACTGCGAAGTAAAGGAGCGTGATGTCGCCATTTTGGAAGTCGAGATCACGTCACAGACAGCGGATGTGAAATGGTTCAAGGATGGCGAGTCCTTGGGACCAAGTAAAGAAAAATTAGAATTCGTGAAAGACGGTACCATTAGAAAATTATTAATCAGAAGCACATCCGTCCATGATGAAGGAGAATACACGTGCACCCTTATGGATGAGAAATGTACAGCGGAAGTCACTGTTATTGGTAAGTATTAATTTTCTATTTAATTTATTGTAAAAGTTAATGAATCATAAGACGAAGTCTATGCTACTCTGTTCATTAATCAACGAAATTACTAAAATTCTTCTTAGATTTTTTCTAAAATTTAAAGTTAAAGTTTAAAATCCCAAATTTAATATAAAAAATGAAATTTCGAAACTTTTTCTCCTTATTCCAAAATCATTAAATCATTAATTGATCCCAAAGTTGTCGTTATTTGTTATTATTATTTATTCTTATAATATATTATCAACATTTTACAAATTATTCTAGAATTACCACCGGAAATCATCACGAAGATGCAAGATGTGACGATAGCAAGAGGCGAGCGGGCAATTTTCGAGATAGAATTGACGAAAGGAGACGCTTTGGTTCGATGGTTCAAAGATGGCCAAGAACTACAATTTTCCGAACACGTACAACTATCGATAGATGGCAAGAGGCAGAGATTGAAGATATACGATACGGAACCAGAAGACGCAGGTGTTTATTCCTGCGAAGTTGGCCAACAAAAATCATCTGCCAAGTTGATCGTGGAAGAACCAGGCGTGGACTTTATCACTAGATTACCAGATGTCACTCTTGTACCGTTGAATGCAGATGCCGTTTTCGTCATAGAAATATCGCGGGATGTTCCAGTTACATGGTTGAGGTAAGAAGAAATATTATAATGACAAATAAAAAAGTAATTTCAATATATACAAGATAAAACACGTAAATGGAATCAATTTTATAAATACTGATAATTTTTTTTATTTATATTAAGTGAAGATAAAATTATTATCTTCTTTTCTAATAAAATTGTATATATATTATGTTAATCGATCTAGCGATCGATCTCGAATATTTCTATAAATGAATATTAATCTGTTCATAAAATAAAAATTATTGATTTAGTCAAATATTTAAAAAAATGAATTTCGTAAAATTTATTATATAAATTTTGTGGAGAATTATCAATGATAAGAAATACATTATTCTATTAAAAAAAAATAATAAATTTGAGATTCATTTAGATATATTTATTGTCATCTATTTTTTTTATTAATTTACAAAATATTATTTACTGAAATAAAACTAATTAAATATATACATATATAAAAAGATTAAATAAAATATAATAATATTACAGGAAATCAGAAGTAATTAAGGAGTCATCGAAATATAGCATCGTCGATGAAGGCACAGTGAAAAAACTGATAGTGAAGAAATGTACCACTAAAGATATTTCAGAATACACAGCTGCTGTAACAAATGTGAAAACATCATCGAAATTAAGGGTCGAAGGTAATAGATTAAATATTTCTTATTTGTCAAATGGCACTTTTAATATTTTTAAATAATTTAATCAATCGAAATATACGAAATATATTATCATATCTATAAAATTTTAGTCATTGAAGTGGCACCAAAGATTAGTCCAGACACACCCAAGAAGTACAAGGTGAGAAAGGGTGAAGACGTCGAAATAGTGGTGAAATTCAGCGCGGCACCGAAACCAAACGACGAATGGACAGTGAATGGCCATGTGGTTACGAAATCGAAACGTGTTGTGCCATCGATCGATGAAGAATCCGCGATTTTAACTATCAGAAAGATTCAAGAAGAAGATGTTGGTGATTACACTCTGAAACTGGTGAACAATGTTGGAGAGGCTAACATAGAAATCAACGTCGTCATCGTTCGTGAGTATCCAATGTTTTTTCCTTTTGTTTTCTTCTTCTTTTTTCTTTTAAAATTAAAATTAAACAATCTTGTCTCTTTATCGAGAAATTTTACTTCTATGTTATATATCTTTTTATATTCTATTTTTATATATGTATTTGCAGAAGTACCAAGTGCACCTGGAGCACCAGAACCATTGGAAATAACTGAGAACAGTGTTACGCTTCACTGGAAGAAACCAGATTCAAATGGAAACTCTCCTATCGTCGAATACATTCTAGAGTATCAAGAAAAGACTGAAACTACGTGAGTGTACTAATTTAATTATTTTAATTTGTCCAAACTAACAAAATATTTATAAATATCAATAAAATAAACCTATGAATTAATTCTACTTAATAAACTTTTATTTTTGGTAACAAAAACGATGAATGTAAACGGCAAAAATTACATTTTTTTATTTAAAGGTGGACCAAGGTTGCAGAAACAATAAAAGAAACAACTCACAAAGTAACGAAATTAACAACGAACAAAGAGTATACCTTCCGTGTAACAGCTGCAAACGAAGCCGGACCAGGCGAAACATCGCCAACTTCTCCATACATTAAGATAACAAAACCATCAGCTGCAGAACCACCAATTATCTTAGAACCTTTGAAGAGTGTTGTCGTTGGCCTTGGAGAAACCGTCAGTTTAACTTGCGTCATTGGTGGAACACCGGCGCCTGAGATTACTTGGTACGAATTTTGAATCGAAAATTTAATTTACTAAATTTAATTAAATATTCGCACCAATTTTTCTTCTGAACTATTACTACAAAAAATATATTAATAATAAATTTAATAATATCATTGCTCCAAATTTAAAGAATTAACAACATTGCATATTATAATTTAATCTGCAATAGTATTAACAGTATTTGAAAATCACATATGTATCTATATTTTTTAAATTTTATTTCATTTATTTATCATTCTATATTGTCTATATTAATCTGATTATACATTCATCGGACAATCTACTCATTATGAAATTATTGCTTTGAAATTGAAATAAAGAAATAGTCAGTCAAAACTATTTTTCTTTCATAAAGAAGTAAAATTTTAAAATGGCAAAATATAAATATCAAAAATTAAATTAACAATAATCAACAAAATTAATATTTTCAATCAGGTTAAGAAATGGAGAAATTTTCGAAGATACCAATATCACGTACGAAAATCGTGTGTCCAAATACACCATCACGAGGACAACGGAAACTTCATCGGCAAGCTTCACTGTGAAAGCGAAGAACGACATAGGAACAGCGGAAACAACGTGCGAGTTGAAAGTGCAAGAGCCGCCTAAGATCACTTACGACGAAACACTGGCAAGCCAAAATCTTCCTGTGAACGGCCAATGGAAGATCGAGATTCAGACGAGTGGATTCCCAAAACCGGAAGTAACGTGGTTGAAGAACAACAAGAAAGTCGACAAACATGTGTCTATTGAAACGGTGGAAAATACATCTACCATCTTTATTCTTCGCTTAGCAGGGAAGATAGCGCCACTTACACGGTGAAGGCAGTGAATGAAGCTGGCAGCTCTTCGGTTGAATTACATCTTAGAGTCATAGGTATTATTTATATTGTTATTCTATTGTTATTTAATATTATTATTATATATTATATATACTATTGATATTATATTGATTATCAATTCAGTTTATTGATCGTATGATTAAGAAGAAATGAAATGCATTGTTATTATCCATTGTATCTTAAATGGATTGTTAATTCGGATTTTCTTATTTTTCTTTCTTTCGAACTATTTATCTAGATAAACCTAGCAAGCCTCAAGGACCAGTGATCTTCAAAGAAATCAGGCAAGATCGTGTCACTATCGAATGGCGGCCACCGGAAGACGATGGTGGAATCGAACTCGAGAAGTACACTATCGAGAAGTACGAACCTGGCAAGACTTGGACGAAGGTGGTCGATATCGATAAAGAAGTAGAAAGTTTCTGCGTGCACAAATTGCAACAGAATGCCGAGTATAAGTTCAGAATCATCGCAAGGAACGCTGTTGGAGCCTCTGAACCTTTGGAATCGGAAACAGTCAAGATGAGGACTTCCTTTGGTAGATTGAATTTTTATATTTTTAGTAAAATTTTATACGATAGATGGATCAAATTTTAATATATTTTATATTTAATTCGTTCTTTCCGTTGCTTTTTATAATATCTATTAATTTTTTAAAACAATAAGCAGTGGGGTTGTTTGAAGTTTGTTCAAATATTACGAATAATATATTCTTTCAGAACCACCTGGACCACCAAGAGGACCTCTGGAAGTATCAGGAATGACGAAAACATCGTTCACGATAAAATGGCAGCCTCCAGAAAACGATGGCGGAACACCAATAACAGAATACATCATCGAGATTAAAGAAGAATCGAAGAAAGCTTGGCAAAAAGTCGATAAAAATTCTCCGCTTTTGACGAATATTTTCGCAGAAATCAAAATTCAATTGTTTTATTTACATTAAAATATTTTACAGATTGGCAGCACAAAGCACGAAACGACATATTTCGGCGTATCGAATCTAAAGACAGATGTGCCGTACAACTTTAGAATAACAGCTAAGAACAGCGTTGGCACTGGTCCTCCATACGTGGCTGAAGAACCAATTGCACCAGGCAGACGAATCAGTAAGTCATACAGCAATCAAATTTAATCATGCAGAAAACTACAATATTAATTGTCTAAGCTTAATATATAATGATATAATTTGTCCGATTTTGCAATTGAAATTTTAACCTCTCGAGCGTTATGATTCATTATTAAAATTGTATTCCATATTGTTAGGAATTATTTTATTAATTTAATTTTTATATTTATTTTATATAATATTATTATATTATACTGTTATTATATTTCTTATCATATTCTATTTTTTTTTATTTGATACATACATTGCTCTAATATATACATTGAATAAAATAATAATGTAATAATTTTTATAATTTAAAAATATTCTTATTTTAGCTATAGCATAACAATACGAATAATCGTAATCACTCGAGGGGTTATAACGCATAATATAAAAATAATATAATAATTTTGCAAAGCTTAATAGTACTCTATACCTATTATAAATGTTTTAATTAGCATTTCTAACAATTTCAAATATAAATCATCCAGCATTTCAACTGCTTATTACTGCTTATTTATTAATTTCGCTATCGCTTAGAAATAACAAAAATGACTGAAAGCACTATGTACGCTCTGCTTGGTATATTTCCGCCGACGAAAATAATTATCAGCAAAAGTAAGTTATTCACAAAACATACTCTTATTGCTTATTGTTATTAAACAATAAACGTTCGTTCTATTTAATAAATAACGTTTGATTTGTAGCACCACCATCGAGTCCACAACATGTGCAAGTGATAAATGTTACCAGCAAGAGCGTAACGCTCAGTTGGTCTCCACCAGCCAGCAATGGAGGAACAGAACTCACAGGTAATTAAAAAAAATATATACATAAAATATGTATAATAGAAATAACAAAATAGAAACGCTACAAATCTCTTCCGTAATTTTTAAATAATTCTCTTCAAGTATTTATTTGAAGATTCGCTATTATATATCGAAAGAATAAGGATTTAAAATTGGTATATTATTTAATATCGTAATATTAAATTGTATCATCGTTCTCTATCCAAACTAATTGAATTTTTTAATATTTAGAAAATATAGAGAGTGATCAAATAATATTTAAAGCTTAAACTACTCCATTGTTTTTGGATATGTGAAAAAACTTTAGTAACAAAAGTTGTTTAATATGAGGAGGGCTATAATATGGCAATAATAATTTTTCTACAATTATAGAAGATTTCGGAGATTTTAAGCCCCATCTTTTAAAATAGAATCATATATTTTTATACGTGTTATTTGATTCAGCTCGATATTTTCTATAAAAAAAATTAGTATGCCGAAAAATTATTAATTTATTAATTATTAATTTCGTTAAATTAATAAGAAAGACAAGAAAAATATAGAGATCGAAAAGAATCGAATCTCGAGTCCACACGTATTATGTTTACTGATATCAAGTGTGAGAAACGAGGATAGAGCGAAAACATAATACCAGTATCTTCAAAATAGCAAACGTCAATTGCTAATGTATCGATATCGATTACTTTTAAGATACTTATAAAAATTCGAAACGATCGTATAAATGTTACTTATCTTTCATTTAATAGCCACAGAATTATATACTTACGATGCCGTGATTCATTCTTACTAAGAATTAATACTTCTTGAAAAACATCAACTAATAAATATACATACAATCAATGATATTAAATAATATTAAAATTATACGTATAGAATTACGAAAAAAATAATATAATGTTCACTTGCTTCAATAGGATACATAGTCGAAAAGAGGCCATTGATTGGAAAAGGAGCAAGATGGACGAAAGTTGTCACCTTGGACGCTACCACGCTTCAATATTGTATAGAGAATTTGAAAGAGAGCGAATTTATCTTCAGAGTCTTCGCTGAGAACAACATGGGACTCAGTTTACCTACAAACTCAGAACCAGTTACCTTGATGACACATGCCAGTAAATATATTCGTTACCCTTTTTGAATAATATTTAAATTAAATTTAAACCATTTAATAAAATTTTCTTTTGAATTTTTTAATTTGAATTAAAATTTTTATTTCGTTTTTTTCAAAATTGCTTTTCAAAATCGCGTATAAATTTTAATCGATCATTCCCATATTCAGATGTTCCATCACCACCAACTGCACCATTGGAAATAAGGCAGATCGCAGCAAACACAGTCGTTATTTCGTGGGGAAGACCGGAATCAGATGGCGGTGCGCCATTGGAAAGTTATAAAATTGCCATCAGGGATGCAAAGAAGACTATGTGGATGGAAGTAGGCAGGGTGAACGCAGATACACAGAAATTGAACATCAGGGATCTTCAAGAGAATCACATGTACCTGATCAGGATCTTTGCCAAAAACGAAGTCGGCCACAGTGATCCTCTAGAGTCTGATGAACCTGTCAAAATCATACCAGTTTCCGGTGAGCTTCCAATATTTTTATTTTAAGAATCTACATTTTTAATAAAATCTGGAAAATATTTGAAAACATTTTTGGAAACAGAAACTTTAAATTATTTTTGAAAAGTATTTCCATTTTCAAATTTCACAAATTTCAAAAATAAAAAATGCATAAAAATTTCTGCAAATGTTTCAACATTGTATTCTCATTTAATTTTCTAGAATTAGCCGTAGTGGAGCCAATCGCAGAAATGACCGAAAAGGGTGAAACCGCATCGGTCAGCTTCAGCACAGAGAACACGAGTTCTTGGCTACGCGAGCACAATATGGACGCCGACATCCATTCGTACGCGAGAGCAAGACTTCTTAGACAAGACGAGTACTTCTTCCGCATTTGGCATTACGCTAAGAAACTTTTCGAATAAGCATTTCTTTACGATTTAACGGCGTGAAGAACGAGATTCATATTCTTTCTTCGTCTTATCGAGGACCATAATAATTTAACGCGTTAGCGAGACAAAGGAAACGAAACAATAATGAAGATAGATTTTTTTATTAATTTAACGCGTTATACTTCGATTGATATTTCGTTCTTCTTCTCTTCTATTTTTTTTTCTTCAACGAAATTTGAGAAAATCGTATTTCTATAAAAATTGAAAATTATTTTCCTCTTTCACGAAACTTTTTATTGTAAATATTTTCGACGTTTGATCTCTCACGTGAACATCGTTATATGTATAATATACGAAAGATTAATGACATTGTTACATCGTTCCTCTTTTAGAATCACGTATAGAGACTAGATCTATTTTAAGGATCGATACAGGATGGGTGTAGAATCTAGTCAACGTAGAGTAATGATATTATTATTATTATTATTTTCTTTCTCATCTTTTAACGGACCAAGACTTCCTCATGCATACTTGGAATCAAGCACAAACGGAAGAATTACATTTCTTCCGGTTCACGAAATAATCGCCATGATTTAGTAATGAACGTGTAACTGAAAATTCGTAAGTCGAAGAAAAAGAAAAAAGGAAAGATAATTTGTGAAAAAAAAAAATTAAGGAACTTTATCGGTAATCTTCATGATATTTAAGTAAGCATTTTTAATTAATTAATTTAAATTTCATTGAATGTATCATTATTTAAAATTAATTAATTTTAAATTAAGTTTATGATAAATAATATCAATCGATCTCGTGAAGATTCGGTATAACGTTTCTTTTCTTTTTTTTTTTTTTTGAATTATTAAAAATGGCAAAAATATTCAAATTTTATCTTTCAATCGAACGGACGAATTTTCAGTCGCATCGAATTGTATTTAAATACGTTGTATTTAAAAAAGGAACACCCTGATTTCCTCGAGATATTATTATCCTTTCGGTAAACGAGAAGCTTTCTATTATCAATCATTCGACGAAGAAAATTTCCTCCCCCGAGACTCGATTCGTCGGTGAATGTGATAAACGATCGGAATCGATCGAGTATCTTGTGTAAAGAAGCGATTTAGAGGATTAGTTGAACAACCCTCTTTCCACCAATCCTTTATTATCCCTTTCGTTAGTCCACCACCTTTTCTATTTATATTATGAATACGAACGGAAAGAAACGTTCGTTTACTCCTACCCGAGTTTGCGAGGATTACTTTTAGTATTTATTCGTAAATGTATAATATTATATTTAATTGTTACCATTATCGTTATTAATTAATTAATTAAAATCGTTCGTTAATGTGATCGGCATCGTTGCTGATGCTCGTACGACTGGTTATTTGAAGAGACTAGAGAAAACGAGGGAATGCCACGCGTGGTTGGTGTCGCGAGACGTAATAAAATATAGGTGCAAGAACAACAACAACATTCACCAACTGCGTGTCGCATACTTCGCGTTATATTGTAAGAAATCTTTTTTTTTTTGCGAATTAAATTATTGCAAACGATATTTTTGATGTTCTTTTTTTTTGTTGATTATTGTATCCTTTTCCTCTCCTTGTTTCATATATATAAGTTATTTTATATAAATCTGTGTGTAAGTAAATATCTGTATTAATAAAAAGATAAAAATGTTCTGATGGAAGGAATCAATTCTGATATCAGAACAATAAAATACTCGTATTGATTATAAGAAATAAAACATTTTTTAAGTTACATTACAAATGTTAAAAATCTAATATAATCTAATATAATTTTTGATGAAAAAATTATCTCAGAAAAATTCAAACAAATCTATAATAATTACGAATGCATCTTTTAAATAGATTTTTCTCAATCTTATTCTAAATTATATTAATTTTTACTTTTCTAATTTTATTTAATTATTTATTAATTTCATTAAATCATTTTATTTATAACTAGAAATTAAAATTAAATATCAAAAAGTGTATTTAAGTATTTCATATTCAAATGTTCGTTTGAATTTTTGAATACACGGCTAATTATGCGCTAAGGATTAAATAAAGAGAGCAAATAATAAGTAAAAGATAAAGATAGGATAAAAATTAAGGAATTAGCGCCATCTCTGGAGTGCCGTAAATAAAACAAATAAAATACTCAAGAGATGGCGCTGAAAGTTAATTCTTTACTTTATCTTTATCTCTATTTTATTATTTGCATCCTTGTCTACATTTGATAAATTTGCAAAACTTTAGAGATGGCGCTAATTGTTAAAATTTTACTATATATTTTTGTTTCACTTTTTTCATTATCTTCTATCTTTCACTATTCTTATCTAACTTGCATCGAATGACCATGGATAAAATATAAAATATTTATATTCTTTTGTAATTATTAATTTTAATTTAATGAATACCAATATAATGATTTTTATAAACGTGTTCATTCATTCAAATTTATTAATTTTATTCAAAATTCTTATAAATAATAATTATTATTCGAAAATCAGTAAATTTTTATATAAAAAAATAATGAATGAAACATGATTAAGATGATTTTCTAATTTGCTATCTTCTCATTTTGAAAAAATAATCAATATCTATTACTTGATACATAAGTATTAATTATGATATGAATTAAGAATTTTTACATATTTATAAGATTTTTTATGTTCATGATATAATCTATATTTTGATTTCTAAAATCAAGAAACGTGAATTCAGATTTTTAGCTTTTCGAAATACACTGTTATATTATAACAGACGTATTGTTACAACAACATTTTACATATTATTATTAAGATATTAAAATATATACGAAACATATAATTTTTAATAAATAAAAACACTTTAATTATATCGTAAATTAGTTTTTTGCATTAAACGTATTATTTGAATATTATTTATTTTTAATTTTTCCGATTGCATAAAATTATTTTATATATGCATATATATGCTAGAATGGAAATTATGTTGTTTTATGATAGATTACCTTCAGATGTCAATTATATATACTGAAATGCTAACAATAATTATTTTATATTGTTTCTTCAAGGTTTAATCATAATTAATCAATTTTGTTATTTTATTTTATATTATATTTTAATTTTATACATGTATTTCTATTTGTTACATTAATTATTTATAGAAAATATATTACGTAAGACAACATTCTTTTTTATCGATAATTTAAATTAATATATTGAATATTTTTATACATATATTAATTATTTCCAAAAACATGGAAGAATTTGAAAGATGGATCAAATAACGATAACTTTTCATTTTCTATAAATATAAAACAATGAACGTCATATCTTAGGAAAAACTTAATTACACAAAGCCAGGAATAAAATAAATCCATAAGAAAATCCTCTTATCGTTCTTTCATTCCGCTTCTGTCTCGCTATCATCCTTTTCAGGGATAGTTCTCATACTTAATTTTGGATTATATTTTCTTCCATGTAGAACGATAATTACACAATCTCTTACAAATCGATTATTAAGTAACTAATATCTATCCAATATAATATTCTATTAAGTGATATATAGCTACTATAATACTACATGTGATATATGAATATAATAGAATACGTATTATGTATTATGTATGCGGATATTCATTTTTTTTTAATCATCTGATAATGTTATTTATGCATTTTCTGACAAACATCTTTCATAATTCTTAAATGAACAATTAACGCGTATTTAGCCGAATGATTTTTTTTTTTCAACAATCGATGATCTTATTGGTCTCCAGCCAGGCAGGCCTCCGATACGTGATAATGTGGCAATCATATTTGAATTGGTAATACACGAGAAAAAAATAATGACACGCCCATAGGTGTGAACGATTCACATGATTGCCAATCAATAATTACCAAAGGTGATGATCTTCATCTGTTACCTTGAATTATATTAATTCAATTTTTTTTTATTCCAATTTCATACCAATCAATATTTTGTAATTATAATCTTTATTTTTTAATCCTTAACATTAGAATAATATTTTGAACAATATTAATTTTTACATAAAAATGTAAATACTATTCTGATGTATCATGATATAGAATAATTACAGTAAATATACATAATGATGTTTTTTTTTTTTGATTGTTTTCTTGATATGTATTCAAATCATTTTTTTTTTTATAAGTTAAGAATTATATTGCAATCTTAATAAATATTTAAGAAATTTATACGTATTATTAATGCTGCACAATGTTATACATTAAACATTTATCAAACGTATCATGACTTGTGGTATTTAAATTTATATATTTTTTATTTTTTATTTATTTATTATATATTTTCATTTAATGAAATGTTAATGAATAGTTTTCAGTTTTAATGAAATTTTGTAAGTGTATACAGCATAATAGAATCTATATTGAACAATCTTTTGAACAATCAATGTTGAAAGTTTCAGTTTGTATATGTTTTCGATTTTTTAAATATAATTATATTTTTTTAATTCAAATTAAAATTTTGAATTAAAAATGTTCAGAATTTAATGTTAAGTAATAGAAAAATTAATAACTAAATTCGTATTTAAAACATCGAAAAATTTTATTAAAAATTTGAGGGTTGATTTTCATTTCCATAAAAAATTATTCCACGTGTAATGTATTATATTTTACATATATGCAATAGTTCATTAAAATATGAATTTTTTTAATTTCAATTGTTAAATATTCATCAATTTGAACACTACTTACAAAACTAATTATCAATTTATTTATTAAATTCAACAGAGTATAATGATTTTTATAAATACATCGCAAACTTATTTCAGAATAACTTAATCAGAATCACTTACTGTGTAAGAGCTTGGAAAGTAGGTTAGCCACGTGACCAGAAAGTGATTCAAGATCTCGGAAAGAGGGTGAAAACGAATGGACGAAATTATATCCGAAAGATTGCAAAGATGTTAAACTCTCGATAAAAAAAGGTAAAGAAATCATTGCAATATAGAATAATTAATTTTTTTATTTTTCGTTTTGTTTCTCATTTATCGCATTTAACGCATTAACGGAACCCGTTAATGTTGTCAATTCCGTTTAACTTAATCCAAGTTAATCTTATTTCCGTATTAAAATGATATTGTCATTGAATGAGATACTTTCGTTATTCTGCAGTTGTATTGTAAAAATATACATGCAATAAGTAAATGTATTCGTTCGTCACGCCTCTAAACGTAGAATGAAATCGAGGATAATAAATTACTGGCACGTGAGAGAACTTCACACTTGGAAAGAACAGACGGGTTTATGATGGATATCGTTAAAACCATATCCCTGTTTTATGCGGGACGTGTTTTTATATGGTGATTTAGAAGAGAAACAATGGCGCATAATTTAAAAGTGCTAAAACAATTAACCATTGATATAAATTTTAATTTTACACGCGATGATTAATCGAATTAATAGTTAAAATTACAATGGTGCATATTATTCATGGTATATCGAATAAATCTAACTGAATTATTCAATTTTTTATTTTAATCATGATGAGTCACAAACAGTTAATGATAATCTTTTTTATAATATATCGTTGAATGAAATGATTGTGTAGAATCATCAAAATCAAAATTCATGACAAAATGATACTATACTTTACGATTTTC